ACCTGAAGAAGCTGGTTTAGTTTGGAGTCCATTTCACACATAGAGTTTGATGGACGGTAAAGCACAGCTATAAGACATGTGTCTGCTCCGCAACCATAGCCGGCACCAAAGCGAATCTGGAGAACTACTCGGTGGGTGGTCAATAAGTTCACATCGGAGGTTAGCCTTATAATACAAAATTATGCCACCACGTCTTCGAACTCGGTCATTCCGAAGCAGTGCCATACCAGGCAAATTGACCAGAATCTACAATCTCAAGGCCTAACTAGTTCTCCGTAATCATAATGAGATTCCGCGGTTGTGACGCCTGGCGTTCTCTAAGTTCGACCAACTTACTAAGAAGACCTTGGACCTTAGCATACAAACTTGATAGTGTTTCTGATGTTAGAATTGTGTGAGTGGACAACAAATTCTTGAGTAGTTTTAAGCCGACCGTTCGTCTGTCGACCGCTACTTGTTTTGTGTGTGTGTTATTGGTTCCTGAATTTCAGGCAGACTGCATGGCAGCAAGGCGCATCCCAGATCGAGATGTTCCTTCGTGTGTCTCCCTGTCCAGTCGGGTGTCGCTAATGCCATATTGTCTACAACTCTGCAGGGTTGTGGAGGCAAATATTTTACTGAGGTTGCATGTTCCAATGAAGCGCTGACAACTAGTGGCCGTGCGCCTGCTATCTTTAGCCTAATCTCGGTCGACAACCTGGAGTGATGCTTCAACCAGCTATGCAATAGGCCTTCCGTCATTCCATCGGAGTGTAGCATGACTTTCAATATGTTTGGACCGCAGCCCTAGTAGTTTGGAGATGAAGGGATTCTCGTTAGTGATTTGCAATAACGTGGTCCAGGAAGAGTACTTCGCGGATGTAGCACCACTGCTCTCGGTCATGTTTTTGCGCTTCTTGCTCAGGAGAGCCCAGTAGTTCAGGAACACTATGAACAAATACGGTTTGTTTTTGCTTTCGTTCATAGAACGGCCGCCATGGTTTTCTTTTTCCTTTGGCCGTCCTTTCCCAGGAATATCGGGTAGTATGCGTACCCCGCTCGATGAGATGCAAAGCTGAACTGCTGAGAATATGACTATCTCTGTCTCCTCAGTTGAATTCAAGGTTACTAGAAGAAATCTGGCTTCGCTGTAGTGCACTGAAGTTGGGTGACGTGCTACACGTCGTAGCCCAGTTGAGTCAATCCGAATACCAATCACATCACAGATGGAATGCCACTGGTTGCGATCATCTACCAGCTTGTCCTTTATTGTGCCAGAACTGGACTCAGGAACATTAGTGCACAGGACCATTAACACACTGTAGTTCTGTTAAAAAATGTCGCTTTGAGTGTTGTGGCTGGTAACTTGGATTGTTTGGCAAGCACTAAAGAACGTTGTGAAGACAGCTTCGCACCGCTCGTGCTTGGTCCAGAAGATAGACGTATGGGTGTCGCTTTAGTCGTTTTTATCGATGTGTATGATCCCCAGCTCTGGACTGTCGGTCTCCGTCTTGTGACCAACTCGTGAGATATGACATCTAGGGATGAGTTAATAGTAGTCACGCTGTATGGGTCTTGCCTACTTAAAGGGTTAGTAACTGTCGGAGTAGATAGCACAGATGCTGTCGGGCAGTTAGCAAGCCTGACTTTAGCCTTCGACAGGGACAGAGCTCTGAAGGCTTTACTGTAGAGCAAGATTGTTATTGTTAGATTCTAATGGCAAAGCCCTGAAGCTTACCATCTGCTGGACTGTTTCAGGCAGCTTTTCACATTTTTTCACTAGCGATATTATACATTTGACTATAGGGATTGCTCTGCATCTTTGGCAAAACTAGAGCGAAGCCCTCAGGTTGATTTGTCTCCTGTATTGTAGTTGACTTAGATCAGCGCAGAGGGGGTGGAACGGAAAGCCGCAGAATTCACAAATAATATCTCGCTCAAGTGATCGTATACACTTCTGCTTCCCACATTTGTGGAATCAGTTCCATTGTGGACCGTTGCTGCAAATGAACGATATCCTTGTTTGGTCACATGAGGTAGAAGGCCAGTGACGCTGGCGTTCTTTGTTCCAGTCGCACTCGCGACGTCGTTTACCGTTGGCGAGTGTGCACGACGAGGACACGTACACGGAGTTTGGCTAGCTTATTGCTTCACACTGGTTCCTGTCGGACAAAGCCGTTGGAAGTGGCTTGTAGTGGGTGAATGACAGCGAAAAGCGCCGATAATGGGCAAATGCAATTGAAACCACAGATTGGGTAGTAGCTTCATCAGAAATGATCTTATGGATGTAATTCTAGGGACACCAGATAGCGCGGAGAATCCTTGATCGATCACAGTATCACAGCAGTGAAAACTATTAAAAACAACAGAGTGGCGCGTCTGGATAGAAGCACGAAACGCGCTAAAACAACTTGTGTAGCACAAATCACTTTCCGTAGGATATACTGCCGTAAAAATGTGCCCACTGAACACCAGAAGTTATTCCAATTCGAATGAGTGTATGATGACGGCGCTAGGTGAAGAGGAAAACGTAAAACTCTGACAGAGGAAAGCACATTTACTATGCGACGAGTCAGGACTGTGTAGTGTTCACCTCAGGCTCATTGGTACTACTTGAAAGACCATTTGTGGTTATGAAAGGAAGTACAAAGTAACAGTTTCAGAACCACAAACTTCACTGACTGAGAGGATATATGTTAGTATAGAATTGGAGCCTTGCAGTTGCATGATGTTATTCGTTTTCTTAGTCCACAGGCTCTGAAATACCAATACATGTTGTAGACCAACGTACATAGATTGAGTTCGTTTCAGGAAACAGTAGGTGCGATGGCCGTGAGAAAGCCGTATTACTATTCAGCCGCGTAAGGCCATTGTTTAATGTAAGATGATGAATTGGCTTAGTGGAAAACGACGATACCGAATTGCTAGACAGTGGTTAAACACCATGGATAGTGTAACCATAGTCAGGAAAAAAGCTACACACATGGCCAATATCTACTACCGAGTGACCATGGATAGTGGGAATGCCATAGAGGAGGGGAATCTCAGAAGAAATGTGAAAGTTGTTCAACATGGGGACAAAACATGGGCGCCTGTTGGAGTCAAATCCTGCCTTCTAAGCTCATACATATGATGTAGCCCCTTCCACACATATAATGACGTGCTGTGTGAACAAATTCATCTGTAGAAGCTTCATACATATGGATGGATGTGGTCGCGACCATTAGAAAAAGCTACGCATAGCGCTTTGGTGACTGATGGCCGAAGCGATGGCCGAGTGAACAGAATGGCGCGTGTGCAACTATTGTTTGCGTATGCAGTAGTTTCAATCCATCTTGTTTACGAGCGTATATATTCGAACGTTGTTAGAAAGCTCGATACCCCAATCGAAAACATTCACGTCTTGTCCGTGAGCACTACGTGCGGTGAACACCCCGCAGTATTTTCTCGTTGACTGCACCAGTTCAGCTGAGATGCATATGGCAGCGCAAAACTCACATCTCCCTTCAAGTTTTACGCTTGCTTTCGATAAAACAATGTGTGTCTAGTTGGATACTGATTCACCTATACTTACTAAACCAGTGATCAGAAGTCATGGTTCTGTTTTTCTACATCGACGTCCGAAATTGATGTAAGTCGAGTAACCCCGCTTAGTTGTTATAAAATGCTCCAGAATTCACGACAGCCATTATTCCCAAGTATAACCTTGAGTACACGATGTCTGGAAGACGTAACTGCTCCCTAGTGAAGATAGACTCCACCGTGTTATCTTTGCTTTTAAAAGTCTTCTCCTTTGTCTACGCAAGCGCTTCAAGTAGGGACAGAAATATCTATACCCCCTCCTGAAGAGAGTTTTACATTAATGGCGAACGTTAAAACATAATTTTAGGTAGCGTGTCAACTCATAACAACACATGAATACACTGGCGTCAGTAAATCAACTGAAGTTGGTGGATACGACCATTGCTCGAAGCCGGTCACTATTCCGTGCAGAACATTTCCTCTCTGAACGTACGATCACTGCGACGAGTAGGCTCCCTATGGTTTGTCTTCGGGTAGACTACAGGACACAGCTTAACTGTTAAGTGTTCAGGGCTGACCAGCGGTGCCTGATTAGACATGGAGAATGGTATTCCTTTGTCAATGGATGACAGATCCAGAGTCGTAATGGATTTGGTGGGGCAGTTCAAGATGTTCTATAGTCCAAGACTGGTGGGAAAGCGGTGTTAAATCAGTTAAAAGCATTAGCAAAATTACATGGGGAACAATCGAAATGTTCTATGACAGCTGCAATAAACTCATTGTAAAAGGCCTCTGATTCGTTTATCGGACATGTGAGGGAAATATAGATGTTAGCTAGTATGACTAAGCGGTATCCACTGCTTTATATTTACTCGCAACTGAGCAGTTAATACGTTTTGAATAGAAACGAAAGGAAACTTCCGCAGATATGCGCCAGGAAGCGTTGGGGTAAATGATGAAATCACCTCCATTGTTCCGGTAATCGCAGCGGCAGTCGGCCAGGTGACATTTGTGCTAATGTAGCTAATGGTAGTCGTTAATTCATCTAGTTTCCCTAGAGACGAAGAGATGTTCGCATGATCATGCGTTCAACTTAGTTGCTTCCGAATAGCAACCTTCCACGAGGCGCGGTGATTAGTCGCGCTTCTGTTTATTTCTTATAAATTGGTCTTTGGACAGTGTGCGGCTTGTGATCGCGGAAGTACATGGCGCTTTCCAAATATGGCGCGTGCAGGTTATCACAAGACTAAGTGCAGAGAGAAGAATGAAATTTGAAAGCGTGATCGTTTCAATATAAATCCAAGCATATTTGTCAATAATTCCACTGAGTAACCGTAGAAATCAACCAAATTTGAAGGCTCCATCTTATGGAATCCCTTTCTTGTCTTTTATTCTTAAGTTGTCGCTTAAGTGAGATTAATTATAACACTCCCACTCAGTTTATGTATAAATATATATAAATATATACATATTAACCCAAAACAATGTATTATTTACAGGCGACCTATTTAAAGTATATGGTCCTAAATGGCCGTATCACTGCGGAACAAATGAACCCTATGTATGCAATAGAAGTGGACGGTCTTCCGGGGGCCATTCGTTTTCGTATCGAACCTCAGGGTATGTTGTGCATTCTACACCTCGATTCAACCGCAATGCTTTTTGCTAATTGACCATCTTTTGCTAGCTAATGGTTCCTAAATCAGCTATCTACCAGCTTGCATAGGCATACTGTTCCGTTGCTAGTAACTGAAGGTCTTTTGGAAAATCCGCAATCGGACCACAGTCAGTTTTGTTGCATAGACCAAAATTTCGGAGCAAGACTATCTACGAGTACACATTAAGATGTAACTTCGAATGGCAATGAAACGTCTGAAGTGAAGTTACTCAGCTCGACGAGCGACTCAGCATCCAGAAAGCTTGTCTGTGATGGTTACTCAGTTATTTCGTTAGCAAGCATTTTCCGAAAAAACCTATTGAATTTCAGGTACCGTATTCATCGCGCTCGTCTAAAAAGCGTTTATCATCTAAGGACAAGCGAATTAGTCTTACCGTGTAATGACTAGGCTCAGAAACTTCTATTGCAGAATAAAGTAGGATGGTTGACGTCCACGTAAAGATTCCTGGCATGTGTATGATAGTTACAAACGGATGAGTATCTCTTGCGAAATGTTAAACAATGTGCACGCCTTTGGTAAAAGCGATTATAGTTAGTTCAATATATTAACATGCTGGTTTCCTAAAAACCTGTCAGCTCATCATATCACTAAGGAGTGTTACTCTGCCCGAGTTAACGACTGACGTGAGGACATTTGTCTGGAGGGTATCTAACCAATAACCACATTGAGCGCACTTGGGTCTTACATATCATTTTAGAATACCATTCAAACTCGCATCAACTTACGTCCCAATATGCGAGTACTACTCATCCACAGACACGATAGACCACATGAAGTGTGTGGTTCAAAGCACTGGCACGCATCACAAAAGGAATCTGAATCGCTTTACAAATCAGTTCGGCATTCACCCCTTTTGATCGATTTGTGCATATAGCCCTGCGTATTGCAGTACCACGTGAATGATGCCACTAACTGGCCACCGCCCATCTGCACTTCTCGACTAGGTGGATGGTGTGTAAGTTCGCGATTCGCCAGTACTGATTCTTATGCCCGGAACAACATTGTTGGTGTGAGCCAGCCCCCGTTGTTCGTTAAGAGTAGGTGTTTCTCAGTACCGGAGTTTGCTATCACGTCATAGTAAGCTTACCTAACTGCTGTCCCGATAGATCATCTTACATTATTCACATGTCCTTCTTGTGCACTCAAACTAGTAGACAATACATTCCACTGTTTTCTGATGATCGCGCACTGGCCTACATGGCGCTGCATGCACACCACGACTACTGATTTTGATGGTGGCCAGTAGTTCAGGTGAAAGAAACCGACGCGATACCGCTGGATGTGTGCCACCCACGCCAGCTACCAACGACGGCGCACACAAAATGGCCGAAGCAGATTTGACACAAACTAACATAAATCAAGATTAACGCGACAGGCAAGAGCAGCTCATCCTTCGACTGGGCACAGAGGATGAGTAGTGTGTACAAGTAAACGAACATAAGCAAACGGGAGACGAGGTGCACATTCCTCGTGGTGGTGCTAGGCTCACAGAGTAGTTCCATCCAGTGTGGAGCGGACTACGGTTCAGTCATTGCCTTCTGTACGTCTGGTACGTATGATTCCCCACATAGATAGACAAGAATGCTGCTACGGTGCATGTTGATGGAGTGTGGGCCGGGTCCATTGACGTAACGTGCTTCACATTCATATCGCGGGTTACACAAGGTATTGGATGTGTTGATAGGGATTTGGGTGATGCAGCGCAAGCCACCCATAGTCTTTATGTAGGTGCAGGTGTCCTGTGGCTGTCCCTATGGAGGCCGCAATGACAGGCAAATCCGGAACGGGGTGCCGCCAATCATATGTATATAGATTTGTTGAGTGATTTATTGTGACTGCATTTGTGATAGTGTTTGTAGGGTCTCTACTGCAGGAAGGGGTCACCTGAGCACTTCTATGTGGATGACTGACTTCCGTGGATTGAGAAGCATCATCTGGATGGGCGAGGCGATAGTTTTATTTAGTGGTGTGTCACACCCGCCACGTCGTCGTGTTGTAAAACGGACAGTTGTGGCTTTTTATAGAGAGAACGCTTGCAAAGCGTAAACCCATCACTTCTGAAACATTGCCGCCGAACCATTCGCTGGAATGAGATGAGCACACACCAGCCAGTTGACACCATGAGAAGATCGTTCGGCAAGCTAGCCAGGGAGGTACGTGACTCAACGCAAATACTTTGTGCGGCTGTTCTGTGAAGACAAGTTGGCACGCCAACAGGAGCTAGCGTAGCGATTCTATTTAAACCAAAACTTCTTCATTGGTACATTAATACCCTTGGTAAAGCACAGAGCGCAATCATGCCACTTGACAAGTTTGTTGGATAGATACAAAAGGCGAGAGATGCAGACATTACTTTGCAGGTCCAGTACTCATCTACTTTCCAAAGAATAAAAGTGTCGAACGACAGTCCTGTTTCAATTACTCCACCATCAGCTATAATCAGGGAGGAGTCCCATACAGAAATGGTTCTAAAGATTCTACTATACCTTTACACACAAAGCTTCCTGAACTGAATAATATTCACCAAAAGGTACCGCCTGTGTTGCTCGTGCGCGTGGCCGAACGGCTGATCGTTTGCTTTCAACCTTGTGTAGAAGTAGACAAAGTTCCGTCAAAGTGAAAACGGCGTATTATTATCCTATTCACGAAGGAGCAAGTAGGTCTGAGCCTGCTGTTTACCGCCTTGTAACACTTCGCCCTGTGCTCACCAAGGTAATAGAAGCGATCACCTCGGGCTCCTTGATGGGCTACTTTCATTGTGCCAGAGCAGCAAGGTTTTCGTCAGCCTCGAGCATGCACCACAAATCAGCTGAGTGCACAAGATAGTTGGATTGAAGAAACTGACAAAGGGGGCAGGAAACGTTGTCATTTACTTGTGCGTTTCAAAAGCCTTCAATTGACTATATATTTGTGTACTATTTTGTGAGCTTCAGTATTATCATTTTGAGAGCTACTAATGGGATATGTAGGTAACATTCATCAAGAACTGCAGTTAAAGGTTAGAGTCCAAACAACTTTCCTCACCCAATTAGAGTAGTGTGGGATTCACTAGGTGCATTAAAGGTTCGGTAAGTTTCCAGCAATATGTATCACCTCGAATTTTTCCATTAGTCGACGATGTAACGAGTTGCCAGGCAAGCAATGGCTTGGAACACGACCAGTTCATCAATAACGACGTTGACGTGGTTTTAAGTTTGTCGGCGAGGAACACGCTGCCATTCAATGTGGACAGGTGCCGAGTTGCTCACATCCGACACCGACACTCCTATATCTACTAATTCGGGGTGCACCATCTGCGGACCACCTCTAAGGTATGACCTCGATGTGCTCGTACAGGACGGTCTCGGTTGTTCCAGACAGTCTGAGTCCCCTTCAAATGAGGCAGCGAGCATGTGGGTCACTCTCGGGCGTTTGGATTCACCCGTCTTTCCTCTGATGCTTAGTATTTACGTGCGTACCGACGTCAGTTACGCTATCCAGGTGTTGTGACGCTGGTTAAGGCCTGTTCTTCCGCAGCGTTCCTGACTACACAATATCAGCATTGCGCTACGTTCCGTACCAGTAATGACTGAAAAAACTGGCAGTGCTCCGTGAACGTTATCGACGGCTACGTGAGCACTTCAAGATAATATAACTAATACATCATCATCAATCAGCATCAATGCACGCTAGCCGAGGGTGAAAAACGCACCTCAGCTACTGTGACGCAATACGGAAAAAGATAAGGGAATAAACATTACGGACTACAAAAGCTAGAAACAATAGCATACTGCTAAAATCACAATCTGCATTGGCTTGAGATCGCTGTCGGAGGGGCAAGCTAAGGGGGAAATGAGGGATAAGGAGACTCACAACACAAATGCCATTTGGATCGGCTCCTCGCATGTGAGCTAGTGTATCCAACCAAACGTGTCCATCGTGCCTAGGACCCCAGCCAGGCAGCCGGGATGCACTAACCGACGCCAAGTTCGAAGTGAGGACTTCATTGTTACGGACCAAGCCATCGCTTGGCTTCCACTCCTCTTCTTCTATCCAGACCCCGGGCGCGCAAACAATACACGTCGCGGGGCCAGTGTGCTAGCATGTGCAGCATGTGGCCCCTCCATCGGGACCTCGTGCTGAGTGGTTCATTCGCTCTTCCTGCATCGAATACGCAACGCCGAACAAATTCATTGTTCACACAGCGTTCCCACCAGACATGAGCTATTATGTGTACGTGATCTTGTCCGCTTGTGTATTCTTCGAAATTTTCTTTTTACTCACTAACCTACTAAACCCGCCAGACATATGCTTTTTTACTTGCCACAAATCACTGTTCCATTGTTCCTTATGCTGTTTCCCGTAGTGTTACTCTGATGCCTCCAACATGTGCATACTAATTTTGCAGCACGAGGAAAACAGTTGCCTAGTTGTCAAACGGAACCACTGTACATTCATTCGTCATTCATTATAAACGCTAACTGTAGGGGGGAAACACCTCAGATATTGTGCTGCAAACCACTGTAATGTACCAGTGTACATTACAGAAGAAAAATTAAGTCCTAGTTTGACTAGTACTGTTCATCATGCATATAACGCAGTGGGAACAGAAAGTTCTGGTGGGATGCTATCCGCGCCACAAACATGGCCTAAGCTCTGTAAAGTATTACATGAGCTCACATCTCCTCTGGTCGCGTAGAGCAGATGTGGCATATATACCTACCGATAGCGACCCTCTCTATCTACGGAACTGTTTTATGATAATAGGGATACTGGAGAGCATCTTTCAAGTGAGGAGTTTGTTTCTAGTCATGCGAAGCTGCTATCCTATATCAACAGCCCAGACAAAAATAGCTGAATTCGTTGATTATTAGCTACCCGATATGACTGATCGCTATCCTGCGTTTCGCTTGGAAAACCGTAGTGTGTGGTCAACTTATATGATCTGGCTGCAACTTGGGGCGACCTCTAAGTTGGATGTCGTTTGCAACCTTCGCCAGACAAAGGTGAATTTAGCCAATGATCCAAAAATCACAACGAGCTGGATCGCAGTATTTACGGTACTACTGCGAACTATACAGTGAAAGGAAATAGGAAAAATTTCAATCATTCAACATCCCGGTATATCAGCCTCTACTTAGGATGCACTCAGATATGTAGAGAGGGAAATTAAATGTGGAAACCACGGGTCCAACAGAACGGTTAGGTGTAAATGGAGGACACAATAAGTCTGGAAGTAATTGTAACTTCACAGTGGCCAACCACTGACCTCTTAATCAAAGTTGGAAAAGGCGAGGATGGAGCATACACATACATACAGAATCCAGTAGTCGAGTGGATGACTCCTTTTCTATCACTCAGCGAAAGTGGTAAAAGCCTATTGATAGCGTCACCAAACCAGGTGCATGAGGATTAACCACAGTCGAGACAAATCGAAATGCGATCAATTATAATAATAGGCCACATGGACAGATGGTTAGCTGTTGACATGTTTCAACTTATGGCAGGATCTCACAGCCAAGTGGTTAAAATCGAAGTACTCCCAACTGAGAACTGAAGAGAATACTCAGATGAATTTTCCACTATGGTGCAACAATCGTTTGCACAGTTTGTTTGACGACAACAACAGACAATTATGAGCAGTCTTACTGACCTGTACCTAGTGTTTTAAGCTTGTATGAATAGTTGCCAAACTATATGGTACTTCCTCATATCAGCAGCACACATGCGTCTAGCGGAATATCCATCTGCGTCCCAATCCAAATCGCATATTGCAATCCTTAGGTTCTCTAAAAAAATGTTAAATGCCTTCCTTTGATACTGGATTAGTAGGCAAGATTATCATCACCACTGTAGTGATGGTATCATCTGAAATCGCAAAATTACGAGGCTAATGGCGGTGAATACAATCGCTTATTGCTCCTTAGTCTCATCGAATAATGTATTTTTCATACTTGTCTAGTGTCTGCGAGCAACCACATTACACCTAGCAATTGAATGCTCCAAATTTCGTCACATAACGTTTACAACATTCCATTACTCTTTAATGGAACAGCAAAATTGGCTTTGCTCAATATTAGTCATGCACGAAAATCAGTAATATGTCCCAGTCTAGCAAAGTCTATTCATTGAGTTGAAATATGATCGTCGTTTATGCCGCCGTCGTTCACTTGAATCCATGCCTGAGGCAGTGACAAATTAACAGCAAATCTTTCCTTTGATTATTTTCCTTCCAGATTTATTTGTTGAAGCACGTCTGCCCAAAGCAGGCTACGTGGCCACCAGAATTCTTCAAATAAATCGGTTGGCAGTTAATGGGGTCGTTCATTTGGTTGACGGCGTTCCTGGACTACCTCTACAAACGGTGGAACAATATGTGGCCTCCACCCCTGAGTACTCGTAAGATGCTCGTATGGTCCTATGACCAATTCATTGTAGAAAGTTTAGCGCCTATCGTTCTGCAGAAGCTAGCTTACCCGGAGGACCATACCTCTATCTTGTTCCTACTAATCAAGCAATGGAAGTCATGGAAATGGATACTGACGTTGGTGCTGTGCTGCTGGGAAACGCAGTGAGAAGAGCATACGTAAGCCTGAGTAGTATTTCTCACTGTACTCACAAATATCTGATTACGTTCCAACAATAATCAATGCAAACGTTCTCCGAAAAACTAAAGCACAGAACCAATGTTTGCCCGTCGTTCACTGTAAGACTTTTAGGACAGTTGTGTTTATACGAATACAATGTGTGCATGGTGGATTCCATTACCGTTTGCTCGCCAATCAATGGTACCAGATAGCTTCCGGGTTTCGCAACTAGTACAGTTCTATCAGTCTGTGTTCGGAATGAAGAAAATTGACGGTTTTTCACCCACTATCTTGTGTGCAAACGCATTAAACTGATTTTCAAATAGTGAACAATATTTTATTGCACTAAATTTCACTGATCCACTGCGATCACTATTCTTGTTTTCATGAACGATTTCAACATTTTTGTATATAAGAGATAAATTTCTGCTTAAGTCCGTAACCTCTAACTGTTGACTGTGTGAATGCCGCATAAGCGTATATTAACTTATATGTAGCCTTATGTACACATGTATTGGCAACCGTGCACATCAGAAATAACATTTTTGCGTTTTCATCCACCTCATCAGAGCACTTATTTGCTCCCACACACTAAATTGTGCTCACTTAGTTATATGCATATTACATTATTTCAAAGGCAAAAATTTCATAAAACAATATTAAATTATCGTTCATTGTAAGAAACAGGACAGTAACAGCCTACAATAAAGGAGTAATACTATTTTCGGGCTAATTTATTGTTTGCATTTGCGCACTGTAGACTAGTGCAACGTCTTATTCGCAGATAGTAGATACTGTCCTCAAACTCAGTAGTAAGAGTGTTCAGGTGTAGAGTAAGAAAAATCATGTTTCTGTCTGCGCACACTTGCAGCTGAATAAGTGTAGTGCTTTGGTAAACGAATTAAAGAAGTATCTCACATCATTGGGTGTTGCCATCACGGAAACACTGCATAACCACGACGTGTTTCGTTCTCTTTTGATCACATCAGAGATAACAGGCCTCGAACCCACGACCATTGGAATAGTAGCCGGAACCTCTACTCCTTTAGCTACTGTATCACAACGAGCAACGCTTAACCTAACGGTTGATGACTGATTGGAAAGTTATTTTCATGAAAGCAAACAAGGCAGAAACGCGTCATCGAGTGAGACTTTTCCGGATAGGCAAACCCGAATATCAACGTCTGACCGCTGTGTCGAACACTGATCGCGGAGCTCAATAGCTTAGTGCTCGTGGCGATAGCTACCAAGTACTATACGCCGAGTTCCACTGTCAGCTCGGCTGTCTCTACCTGGTGAGTCTAAACCAGGACGAAACCGTCGGTCATGCACTGAAAGGATGGGAGAGAGCCACGTCGACACCCGCCACTTCGGTGACGGTCCCAGTGACCGTACTGGCAGAGGCTGACTTCAAAGTCAACCGAAGGCACGATTGAGATTGCTTGTCGCAATCCAGGACACACAGCGGGTGCTATACTACATGAAAAGCAACTTGGAATCGCTGTGTCAGGCACTGCTCGTGGAGCTCAATGACCTAGTGATCATGGCGATAGCTGCCCAACACTGTGCACCGAGTTCCACTCCCAGCTCGGCTATCTCTACCTGATGAGTCTAAACCAAGACGAAATCGTCGGTCGTGGAGTGCAGAGATGGGAAAGAGCCACACCGACACCCGCCACTTCGGTGACGGTCCCAGTGACCGTACTTTCAGAGGCTGACTTCAAAGTCAACCAAGGCCACAATTGAGATTACATGTCGCAATCCAAGACACGGCGGGTGCTTCAAACGCAGAAATCAAACACACTTCCAGCCTTCTTAGCTAAGGCTTTAGTGATCAGCTGGATCAAGGTTAACTTCAATGCGGATCATGGTTTACATTGAGATTGCGTGTTGCAATCCAATCACTCAAAGTGTAATTCAAAATGACCTTCCACTCAACGTCTATCATGTTTTTAAATAAGAAGTGATAATGTTAGTAGCTCAGCGGTTAATGAGAGACCCTCAGGAAAATGATATCCCATCCTCCTCACTCGAAATTGCATGGTTGGCGAAACTCAAAGCAATTCGAGTACTTTACTCCCAAGTCATGTACTTTATACCAATTATTAAGTGGTGATCCTTCCATTTTTAGATTAATGGTGGGACGACTACTTTTATATTATATGTCGTTGCATTTCTCCATTGAGAATTGTATTTGCTAAAGATCTCATTAACATTTTGAAGCCTTAAGATCACTTTGAACATGAGAACGACCAGTGAGCAGACAACGTTGACAGTATATGCCAAGAGAAATGGCCTCTTTGGGATGAATAAATCGGCTACGTTAACCACAGACAAGTGAAAGCCTGCTGACTGAGAGTGACCGTGAGGAACTATCTCTAATTATACCAAAATCCTCACTACTCATTGGTCATATAAACTCTGTCCGTGTAACTTCTAAGTCCGTATGTCGTACCCGGACGCTATGCGAAAAGTCCTTGCTCGTACGACTAACTGCTGTCCTCTGCATAGTTCGTAACTGGCATAGGAGTGGGGCTGAGCGGGCTATACAATAGTCAACTGCCAATCATATAGATCTGTTGCTGTCACCCATGGCTTAGTGGTACTAACTGCTGGCTTCCGAAAGTTATGGGGTCGGAACCAGCCAACGGTCCAATGGAAGGCGCACCACTGATGAGACCCACTATGTTTAAACAGCGCTGTCTGGTGCTTTTTCAGACTTGCCAATACCTACTGACTGAGGGTAAACCGTGATGAACTATCTCTGAGCAAGTAGATTTATGTGAGACACTGGATAGACATTTCTAAGACCCCTTCACCAACCTTAACAAGATAACCCTAATTTACATACCTACACTCGTGAAAAATAAGCTAGCGAGCCCTGGATTTTCTCTGCGCACTATCACAAGAACGATCAATTCGAAGTGAGGATCTTCAAACCTCTTAACCAAGTCATCGCTTGCCTTAATCCCCACTTCATCCTTCCAGACCCCGGGCGCGCAAACAACGCACGACATGAGTGTCGGTGTGCTGTCATGCGCAACGTGTGGCCCAGTCATAGGAGCTTGGTGCGTGAAATAATGGGGCTGAGCGTTTCACTCGCTTTTCCCGCACCAAATAAACGACGCTGAACACATTAATTGCTCACGCAGTGTTCCCGTCAGACATGAACTAAGCTGCGAAGCCATCGATGGTCGAACGTGATCAGCCTCTTTATGTCTGCCTATCTAATGAGCCAAGTTTCACAATCGTACAGAGGGTCGAATGGACGGCTACATTGTAAACTCTGCGCTTCAAGGCGGAAGTTATGTTGCAACGGCGCTACATATGGCGGAAATTGGCACAGACACCATAGCCTTTTGTTCTACGGTTGTTGATCTCTTCTTCTATTCCACTGACAAAGATATAGTTGTCTAAAATGACTTCTAACTGCTCGTCACCAAAGCTCAGCGCAGGCATGACCGTCTGTCAACCTTGGGGAAGGAATTTGTATTTCGATGATGCAATATATATAATGAAACAACTGACAGTCGGTGCTAGCCTGTCCAGTGCTGTTTGGCGTCTTTGTGAGCTGTCACTGGTTAGGACAACCTTGTCGGCGTACTTCAGGTTCAGAAGTCATTCACCTGTGAGCAGCTCCGCGCCGTTTAGGCCGTGCCCAGTGAACGCAGTTTCCACAATTTCGTCAATGGTAAATTTGAAGAGGAAAGGTGACAGCGTGGATCCTTGTCTCATGCTGCTGAAGATATCGCAGAGCGATACCAGCTTTCCGTGAGCCCTCACTCTGTCCGAACTATGCGTGTGAAGCGCTCTGATAATATTTATGTATTTTTCAGGCACACCTTTCCTAAGTAGACAGTCTCAAAAGACACATCGACCCACTGAATCGAAAGCACATTTGATGTCGATAAATGCGGATTTGGTGGCTTGCCGATAAGCGTGGCGTTGCCACAACATTTAAAATAATGTGCAGATGTGGTCAATACGGCCGCGACTTCGATGGAATATAGTATGCACTCGCATCTGGCTTTCACGAGTACCACAGACTGAGACCACTCAGTCTGTGGAGGACGACACTCACAGGCAATTTAGATATAATTGTGATCAAACTGTTTCAGCTGTGATTTCCGCGTACCGAACGTGAGCTCCTTCAAAACACGGGATTATAACGAGCGGTTTCAGTCTGTTGGGACAGCCTCCTGTTCCCACAGCTTCACTAGTAAATTGGGAAGATCATCAACACGAGCAATTCCGCGAATTTGTAAGAGCTAGAGGAAACCTAGCTTCCCTTGCGGTCTTATTTACTTTTAACAATCTGATCTCACGTTCGACTTTGTTCGTGAAAACAGGTCCACAGCAACGTTCCAGAAAGAATGACGACCAGTGGTCGATGGAGAAGCTGGTAACTGTTTCATTAAGCTGTTATTTAAAGTGTTTGACCCAACGTTCCAAGTCTTTTGACAATCTGTGGATTGGCCGTCTACCTTTGTCACCTGTGATCTCGATAACACTAGGTTAACGATGGTCCCTTTAGCGTATCCTATGGAATGATTTCCAATGATTCTCAACGACTGTGGCTGTCTCCATTTCTGATGCACGATGAGAAAACCAGGATTCGCTGTCTCTCTTCAGGCTAGCATGCAGTTTCACCCTGAAGCATTTACGAGTCTCGTTGAGCTCATTTCCAGCCAGAATATGTCTTTGAGCATCCAGTAGTTAAAAATTCTGCATTACGACCCAATGTCCAGATTGGCAATTTGATTTGTCACTTGAATGCCTGCATAGTCCTGAGAACGTCTGGCGAACATTTACCTGTGATCTTCAACGGTGTTTAGTAGATGCTTTCTCAGCCCGGATGCCAAACTATTCTGATACGTATTCAGAACGTCTGGTTTCGCCAGCTGGAAAGTTTCCACGAGTAACACAGTAGTTGCAGATCCCCACCGAAACGCAGCAACTGGTCGACATATGAAAGTGCGTGATCGGAGTCCACGCTTGT